AAAAAAACCGAAGGTAAAAAAAAAAAAAACAGTAACCTGGTTGCCGAGTTCACGAAGTGAATTGGCTTGTTTTACAACGTCGTTGCCAAGCGACGAAAACCCAACCCCGATGGCAAACACCGGAGGGGGGGGGGGGGGTTCGTGTTTTTTTTTTTTTGTTATTCCCCTCCATTAGATCGGACGTTTATTGATGTTCTCCATTCTGTCTTCTATCGCGACCAAACACATTGTGACTCCGGAAGGCTTCAGCGTCAGTTGAATCAGTATCGATGTAGTGTAGGAAGACCGAATTGGTTGTTGGACGTGGAGATAGCAACATAGCAACAACGACCAGCGGGCAAGTTGCTCTGCGCGGTGGGGGGCTGTAGGTTTGTCGACCCCTCCTGTTGTCGTTCGATGGAAATGCCACGGCCCCTTTGTATCTCACTCTGCCTTTGTACATGTGCTGTTAATTTGGATGCAACCCCGCGATCGATTCTACCGGCCGCCTTCCTTAGTTGCATGCGCCCTCGCTGTTGTCGGTTGGGTGATGTGAGTTACACAGGTGGTGTCCAACATTGTGGAATTCTAGGAAGGCGCCCGCGAAGTGTTAATCCTCCCCCCCCCCTGCCCCGCTGCTGTCCATTTTCGCGATGTGATTTGCACAGGTATCGTCCAATATTGTGGAGGTGTGGGAGGGCACTCGTGAAGCGCTAACTTCCCTAGCCGTGGACACTGCCCTCTCTAGCTCGCTGGAAAGGAGGGTCACGGCTCTCGAGGGTGTTCGAGCATCCGACCAAGACATATGCCAGGTATGGGAATTCGAGCACGTTGGTGTGCCTGCTGTAACCAGATGGTGTATGCACGTTAATGCGTTTTTTTGTAGCGGCATGCACACACCACTCTGTTTGAAAGGAAAAGGGCTATTCTCATGGTTTTTATTCCAGAAGCGATACGAATAGCCCTTGGTTTTCAAGCAGGGTGGTGCTTGCCTTGTCAAGTAAAAACACGAATAGGAATGCGGAGGGCTTTACGCACTTTCTCTCTCCCTCTCCCTCTCCCTCTCCCTCTTTCTCTGTCTCTCTCCCTCCCTCTTTCTCTCCCCCCCCTCCCCCCCCGTGCTTGCCATCGGGGTTGGGTTTTCGTCGCTTGGCAACGACGTTGTAAAACAAGCCAATTCACTTCGTGAACTCGGCAACCAGGTTACCGTTTTTTTTTTTTACCTCCGTTTTTTTTTTTGGCGGTAACCATAATGGTGGTCGAGTAGATCATGTTGTGCGGGGTGGAGAACCCTCACTCCGCGCAAGGGGGATGATCGCACCACGTTGTGTTAAAATGGTCAAGCACCCTCGAGGCAGTTACACAGTGCTTACAACTGTCTCTGGAAGTGAAAGCACCAGAAAATAAATTCAGTCATATGGGGCTGTCATCCGTATGCAAGGAAGTAAGCACAAGATGCCGAACACCCTTNCGGCGTGCTCCGTCCCGGCTTTGTAGGGATGCGAGGTCAATGGTCTAACGACTACGGCATGCACGACTATGAGTACAACCCCCCCCCCCCGCTCTCTCTCTCTTTCTCTCTCTCTCACTCCCTCTCTCACTCCCTCTCGTGCCCCATTTGCGCTCGCGCGCCCACAACTCGCAGCTGGCTCAGAGGATGGCGGAGCTGCAGTCGACGCTTGACCCCGCCCGCCTCAGCAAGAGGAACAAGTCTTCGACGCACCTCTTGGACGCAGAGAAAAACAGGAACGCTTGCCAAGCGGTAAGCACTCGTGTTGATGTTGTTGTCGTCGTCGTCGTTGTTGTTGTGTCTGCTGCTGCTGCTGCTGCTGCTGCTGCTGCTGCTGCTGCTGCGGCTGCTGCTGCGGCTGCGGCTGCGGCTGCTATTGCGTTGAAGCCGTTTGCTTACTTTCGTCTCCTACAGATGGAAGTCTTGCCGATGACGCGTGGCGTGGACGTTCTAGATGCATCGTTTGCCCCTTCGGGTCGTTGCAATCTTATAACCATACGTGTGGGTATTCCCTGTTTGGTATATCGACTGCACCAACCGGCTGTCCATTGAACACACCCTAGTGTCAGTGTGAATGTACCGCAAAGCCTCAGTGCAGCTTGTACGCGAAATGGACAACGCCTATATCGGTCGTAACTGCCGCGCGCTATTTATGGTGTGTTGTGTGTGTGTTTTGTTTGCAATTGTCAGACGGTATTACCGCTGACGGCGTTGCGTTTAGTCGTCTTTTCCGATACAGCAAAGGTCCTTGTGTAGTGCTGGGGTGTTCGCAAGAATTTCACCGGCAGTAAACCGGGCACCGGCACTATATCAAAGTACAGAACGACTTAATATTCCAGTGTGTGCGAGCCGGAAACACTGGCACTATACCGGCACCCGGCACTAAACAGGGACCTCTACTGTACTTGATGTGTGACTTACGCCACACTTTTTTGTTGTTGTGCCGTCTACTTTTAGGCCTACATGCGGGCGCTCAAGCGGCTGAAGGAGCAGCTCAAGCACTGGCGCGAGGCGTGCGGCTGCGGCTTCGACCCGAGCTTGCTCAGCGACGTCGCTCGTCAGGTGCCGCTTGCTACCCTATTCACGCGTTGCTCTCCCCGTTGGTGCTTGGACTCTTTCCTGTTGTTCATGTCGTCGTGTTGTCGCCCTCGTCGAACGTAGTAGCCGCTCTTCCTGCCTTTGCCGTTGGATTTGGGGCTTGGAGTCCAGGTGCACCGGCTTTCTCAGTGACTTCGGGGTACGGTCGATCGACGCGCCAAGCTATTCTTGTTGCAGCTGCTGCGACTACTGTCTATTTTCGATGTTGTGGTTGTTGTCGCCATCGTCGGAGTTGTCCTTGGCTTGTGCTGTTGTGATGATAGGCAAATATTGGTTTGAGCATGGCAGTACCCTACCCTCCTGCTGGCGATACCCCCCCCCCGCCCCCCCACCCCCATCCTGCCTCTTCGCTCTTTGCCCATCTCGCTGAGTATTTGTTCCTTTATTATATCTTCTTTTGTTGTGTTAAATTGTTGTGTGCCGGCGTTGTCTTAACGTGACGCAAGTGACACGAGCGTTCCTCTCTTGCTGATGTCCCCCCCCCCTCTCGCTCCATTAGCTCCTGGTTAACCCTCGTGACACGTAGCCTGGCCCGTCGAAAACCCGGCGTATCGCTCCGTCCCGGTATTGTAGGCGTGCGAGGACTATGGTCTAACGACCAAGTTATGCGTTCACATGAGTTTTTTTTTTGTTGTTGCGTGCAATTGGTGCCGTCCCGACGTTGACACACATGCCATGTACGTGTGTATTACAAATACGCAGGCTCTCAACGACCTTCGCCGAGGAGGTGGCGCCGGGGCCAAGATCGAGCACATCCTTCCCCACCTCGACAGCAGCGCCAGCATCACCACCACCACCGGCGGCGGCGGCGGCGGCGGCGGCGCCTCTGGTGCCGGTTCGCGGGCGACCAGCCCGGACCTGTTCGGCGGCAAGCAAGTTCCCCGACTGTCGCAAGACCCCGCCGTCGCTCCCCAGCAGCCTGCCGCGGAGGCTACTCCTCCCGCTGCCGCTGCCACGAGGATATCTCCTCCTCCCCCCGAGACCACAAGCGGCTCCGCGCTTGGGAGCGGCGGCGCTGCCGGGGGGGGCGGGGGTGCAATGCTCTCGATCGCGAACCCCAGCCTGGTGGCCTCTTCCGCAGCCGCGCCCATGTCCGCCAGCAAGCTTAGCGGCGGAGGCGTTCAGTCGTTCCGGGGGAGGGGGGGCGCATTCGGGATGCTCCTCCACAAGGTTCAGACGACGCAGTCGTCGGCGGGGGGCTCCGTGTCTGGAAGCGGCATGGGTGGGGGGGTCGCGGTTGGGCCGGGTTCGGACGGAGCGGGGGTGGTTGAAGATGACGGGGGGTCTAGTGTTTCTGGTGGGGTCCCGCCGTGAGGTGGAAGGGGGTTAGCCGTATATGCCGCTTGTCTTGAGTGGTGATTTGTTTTGCATTTTGTTCGCAGCCCCCGGCGGAAAGGATGGATTGTTATTAAGCCGACGGCACTCGACGCTCCCGTCTTAGGGCGAGCTTGTGTAAGCTGCTAAGAAAAACTGGATACGTTGTCGCTATTTTATTCTTTTGAGGCGAGCTTGGTGGCGTAGGGGGGGGGGGGGGG